CGGGCAGAAGCAGCCTGATGGCGGTCTGGATCTCGCGGGAGCTGATGGTTGATTTCTTGTTGTAGTGGGCAAGGCGGGAAGCTTCGGTGGCGATGCGCTTGAAGATGTCGTTGACGAACGAGTTCATGATGCCCATGGCTTTGCTGGAGATACCAGTGTCAGGGTGCACTTGCTTCAACACCTTGTAGATGTAGATAGCATAGCTTTCCTTTCTCTTTCCCCTTCTCTTCTTCTTTCCGTCAGCCGCGGCCTTTGCCTTACCGGCTTTCTTCTCGCCTTTTTTCCTGCAACTTTGGGTGTCATGTCTGTAGATCAGAATGGATTTGAATGAAGACTGGATGATGCATTTTGTATTTATGATAAAATTTTGAAAGGATCAATTACCATAAAGATCGAAATTCTCGATTCCTAATTGGTCAGACCTTAGGGGTCATGTTATTTTGCATGTGGTTTATTTATACCACTTTGGGTCTTTGTTTTCCCTTGTCAAATGACAAGTTCTTATTGGTGTATTTCGATCCCCTATATTCGACAAGTAGCAAATAAAATGTAGTACATATCACTTCTGTTTCATTCACTCAGCAAGTTATTCTCGTAAGTTTTACATTCAATCATGTCTGGTCGAGGTAAAGGAAAGGCAAAGGGCACCAAGTCCAAGAGCCGCTCATCCCGAGCAGGGCTTCAGTTCCCAGTTGGTCGTATCCACCGTCTTCTCCGCAAAGGCAACTACGCTGAGCGTGTTGGCGCCGGTGCTCCAGTGTACTTGGCTGCAGTTCTCGAGTATTTGAGTGCCGAGATCCTGGAGTTGGCGGGCAACGCTGCTCGTGACAACAAGAAGACAAGAATCATCCCCCGTCACCTTCAGCTGGCTGTCCGTAATGACGAGGAGTTGAACAAACTGCTCGCCGGTGTCACCATCGCACAGGGAGGTGTTCTTCCCAACATCCAGGCTGTACTTCTGCCCAAGAAGACCGAGAAGAAAGCCAAAGCTTAAATAAGCTTTGACTCACAAAAACGGCTCCTTTAGGAGCCACCAAATATAACAAAAGTCTTGGCCCACATGAATACTAATATACAAAGTGGAAACACATTTGTTAAAATCGGTTCTACTTTCATTGAGCTATGAAAATCCAAAGCCCTGCACTATTTCTGTTTCTTTATTGAAACTGAGACATTATACTCTCGGTTTGTTGAAATCCAGTATTTACTATGAAATTAAAAATATTTCCTACGTATCGGTCCGTTTGTCTGCATTATTGCGCAAACGTTGTAATCTTGCGCGCCGATATGTAAATCGCACTTCTAAATAAACACGCGCTACAACTACACACGGTCCGTCTGGCACATCTTCGAAAGCGCTTTTAGTTGAGCTTGCAAAAACGAAGAAAGAATTACGAGAAGCCTTCTTGTATGCAAGCCCTTTTAGCAAATCAAATTCAGAACTGCGAATCGTCCAAGTTGTGCGCGCGAGCAAAGTAGGTCGACCGTTACAGAAAAGGCGCCAAAACCTCGCATGAATAAACAATAAAGCTCACCTATTATTGGACTGAAATTAAAGGACATACTCGGGCTTGTCTTAATTCAAACTGAAACATGGTACTCGGTTTGTTGAAATCTTGTATTTACAATGCACTAAGTTGCTTATCTGCCTGTCTTTTTGTCTGCAATATGAGCAAACGCTTTTAAACGCGCGAGATCTGCGCAAATATAAATCGAACTTTTCTTTTTGACCGTGCGCAATTTATGCTATGGACTTTCGTGCAAAAGATATATGCGTGCACATTAGTTAATGGCCAAAAATCAAGAAAGAATTGTGAGAAACCTTGGACAAGCCCTTGTCTAAAATTCGAAAAAAATGAGAACTGCAACTGTGCGCACGAGCAATTTAAGATCGACCGTAACAGAAATGGCGCCAAAACCTCGCATGAACAAATTGAAAGCTCACTCATTTTTCGACTGAAGGGATATCGCAGAATGTTGGTGGAATATTCGAGCAGTGAACATTATTAGGCGGCTTCCTTAAGCGCGCGCGCTCTGAAGAACAAGAGTCACTGTTTGGATCGTGGATACTGTACGTTGCCTTCAGCGCGCTATACTACTGCATTAGTGTTTGTAATATCTTGCTGCTTATATCATGAATCATAACGAAACATTTTATTGTTCATGACTTTTGAGAGATTTGGTGGCTCCTAAAGGAGCCGTTTGTTTGTGTTGGAAGACTCTGCAGTTTAACCGCCAAATCCGTACAGAGTACGGCCTTGTCGTTTCAGAGCGTACACCACATCCATGGCTGTCACAGTCTTTCTCTTGGCGTGCTCGGTGTAAGTCACAGCATCACGGATCACGTTCTCAAGGAAAACTTTGAGAACGCCACGAGTCTCCTCGTAGATCAGGCCAGAGATTCGCTTGACACCGCCACGACGAGCAAGACGACGGATGGCTGGCTTGGTGATGCCTTGGATGTTGTCACGAAGGATCTTTCGATGACGCTTGGCGCCTCCTTTCCCTAGACCTTTGCCTCCTTTACCGCGACCAGACATGATTGCTTGCTTGTATCACTGAGATATAACCAAAGAAGCGCCGATTATGATATTTATAAGGTGAAGAATGACCTCTCAGAAAACACAACATGAGTATGCGTGTCCTTATTGGCTAATTATATAAAACAAAGCCAAGTGTCAGTAAATACTGTTGATTATCATAAAACACCGTTCGTTTTCATTCACACTACACGTGCGAGGAAATCAAGTCTTTTCCGCTTATAAAACCTAAATAAAACTTCGTAAGGAAACAGCTGTTCAACTTTCTTTCTACTTAAACGATTCTCCTTTAATTCATAGCGGAAAAACTGTTAAAATCCCTGAAAAGTTTCTTCGGATCGAAATACAGTCACAGAACCGTGAAATTATTTGGTGATATTATGTTAAACCAATCAAATCTCATAGTTTTGAACCAATCACGAACAAGCCCGCCAGGTATAAATCCGTTTGTAACGTTATTTTGTTATTATCAGGGATATTTCTCGATATCGAACATGGCACGTACCAAGCAAACTGCTCGTAAATCAACTGGTGGAAAAGCTCCACGAAAACAGCTCGCCACAAAGGCAGCTCGTAAGAGCGCTCCCGCTACCGGTGGAGTCAAGAAACCTCATCGTTACAGGCCTGGTACAGTCGCTCTTCGTGAGATCCGTCGTTACCAGAAATCCACCGAGCTGCTGATTCGCAAGCTGCCCTTCCAGCGTCTTGTGCGAGAAATCGCTCAGGATTTCAAGACCGATCTGCGTTTCCAGAGCTCCGCTGTGATGGCGCTTCAAGAAGCTAGCGAGGCTTACCTTGTTGGTCTGTTTGAAGACACCAACTTGTGCGCCATCCACGCCAAGCGCGTCACCATCATGCCCAAGGACATTCAGTTGGCCCGCCGAATCCGTGGAGAGCGAGCATAGAGTGGATAGCACTGTCCATTACAAAACAAACGGCTCCTTTAGGAGCCACCACATGAATAAAAGCAATGACCAACTGATTTTTATATCACAACAAATTATGATATTCCCCTCACAGCAGATAAAATAGAGATATTGCTTCACTGTGCGTTAATAGCAGAAAGCTATAAAGACGTAGCAACTTGTCTTAAAAGCGGAGTACTTCTAGAGCAAAAATTTAAAACGCGAGGCGACGCAGCGTTAAGTAGAAAGAAACCTTTTGGACCAGGGAAGGTTATAAACCAGAATGCTTCCTTTTTGGGTTAAAAATGCAAAAATCCGAATCAAGGTATTTGAAGTAATTAGTTAAACGGCACTGTATATAAAGAGCCGAGTACACAGTTTAGTTTCGGGACGAACTCAAAGGATCACGGGCGTACTTTATAATGTAAGCAAAAACCTTTTATTTTTGACGGGTTCAGGAGCCCGAGCCCAAGAGCCTGGAACAGGCTATCTCCTGACTGGTTTTATTAGTCAAAAGTTAAGTTATTGTCCAAGAATCAGTTCGCAATAAGTTAGCAAATTATTTCCCTTGGCTTTGCAAGAGAAATAGGTCTAATTTTTAAAAATGTTATTAAGAGAAGCCATTTTCTGCAGACTTTCCGGGCACTGAGCGCGTTACAATCGAGCGCGCAAACTAAAACGAATCTTGCATAAATCACTTTCCCGCGGATGGCGCGTGTGGTTTGTTTTGTTAACAATTATCCACTGGATACCCGTTAATCTAGCTAGTGGATAGCGTTATCCAACCTTCCATGATCCAACAACCGGGGCTTGATATTTTTAAAATGAATGCCCGGTGGAGAGCCTTGAAAACACTTCATGATTGTTCTATCGCTCAACTGGCTTTCGCGTGTCACGCACACGAGATCACGAGTCACGCGTCATTCGAGACCGTTCTGAGACCGTCACAGTCAAAGCGAGCTTTCAGCGACAAATCTTTAGAAAATATTTTTTTTTTGCCGAGTCTCCTTAGAAATAAAATTGAACAGCGAATAATTTTTAACGTTTACGTATTTTACGGGCAAGGAATAGAAGACAGGACGAGCCAAA